TTAGTCGACTTAGCCGACTTCTTATGAAATGTTTGTCCATGCTAAAGTATTCTAAGTCGTTTTTAGCTATAATCTGCTAGAAAAATGTTAAATTTAGACGTGCTACCAAAGTTATATTTAAATTTCGTTAAAATCAGTAAAACACTCAATGTTCTACCTCACACCGCTACCGAGATAACGCCCGTAAACTTTGAGAGCTTCTCCTGAAAAACTCACTTTTCAGACTTAGCATACTATTACTTACACTCCAAACATTTTCTAAGTTTACGTCTAACGACAGTATTCAGGAGGATTTACTTCCCTTTCCACAATAAAATCGTCTCAATGGCCACATTAACTGTTTGAAACATCTATCATTCTCGATATAAACTCCTGAGTCCCCATCATCGCATCTTTGTGGTATTACTTTTTTGTGGGCGGTGAAGCATTCAACAGCACCTTTCCAATTTTTAAGAGGGTGCGACAGAAGTAATTTTAGGACTTGGTGGTTGTCCTTACCGCACCATTCATAAATCTGAATATGCGATACTAGAAACCAGGGGAGTGGGCCGAGCCGGTATAATTAAAATGAAAACAACTCAATTCGAACACTTTTGCATGAATAACAAAAAACTATATATCCAACTATATTATCCACAATCTATTATTTAAAATTTTTGACAATAGAATGTTGAATGGCAATGAGAATCCACCGTCAAATCACTTGTTTTGGAAGATGCGTTTGTATGGGAGGGCTGCAACAAATAGAGCTTTGAAAGTAAATGGAAATAAAAATGCAGAGGTTTCTTAATAACAATTACCATTCTATGCACAACGATATGTGCTCGCAATGATATGAGTGTTATCTGTCCCTTTTTGGGCGCTAGCCCAAAGGTTGCAATAAACCGCAGTGTATACATTTTAACGAATAATTAAGGGCCAAAACAGGCGGCCCCGTCCGACTATAATGCTCCGCTCTCTGGTTTTTGAGTTAAAACTATAAATAAACCCATTTATAATATGTCTGAAGGGAATATATATATATATATATATATGTATACTTATTCACGAGAACACTAGGAAAAACCACAAACCAAAAAAAAAAATTAAAAATTATAGACGAATTTACTGTTCGGCCAATCCCAAAAATAAATTATCACAATTTGTTTAAAAAAAAAAACAAATGATCTAATATATAATTTGATTGTGGATTAAAACTTCATTTTGTTTATATGTAAAATTTAAAATTTTATTTATAAAATTCATTAATTTTTTGTAACATAAATATGTATGTATTTTATGTTGAGCTTCGTTTAACATACACACGATAAAATAAGTGGGTGTGTGGCTGAATTTCAAAATGTAAGTTACTTTGTCTTCGTATTCAGATATAAGTGATTAAAAAACCGTAGATATTATTTGCATATATTTTAAATATAAACAAATCATTGTACATTTTGGAAATCAGTAGGTTTGTATGATAATTTAATTATGTACAAATATATCTTCATTATTATTTTGCTTACGTATCAAGTAATGTATATGTATATTTAATAAGTCTTTTTGCAAATTTACATTGGTAGGTTTCGTGCCTTAAATAACGTATAACAATTTTAGTCGTGTTAATTGGAATAATAATTGAATCAGTTCACATATATATAGAAAATATTAAATTTTAATGTCAAATGTGTTTAATTGGTAGTCACAATAAAATACGTTCTAAACAACGATAGCAGCAGGATCTGTAATAAGCAACAATTTTATCTATCCAGCAGTACAATAGGATTAAGAGTTTTTGCCTTTTTTCTCAAAAAGGATTTAAAATAGTAGGAATGAATGGGATTTTGCATTTTAATAGCTAAAATAAGGTTCATAACACTTAATTATTTTAAAAATGACACGTAAAATCCATTTAGAAAAATACGTTTTTGTTAAAAAATTATTTCTTTGTATGGGACTCTGAAACCTTTTATGATTTTCACAATTAAAGATGAATTTCGTGGGACAGAAATGGTTATGTCATTTTGCGCGGCTTTAAAGTTTGTAGATAATTATATATTTGCTAACAATCACTCGAATTTTTTTTTTTGTCAAAAATTCTTTTAAATATAAAATATAATAAAAAAATCAAATGATTTTGAGCGTGAGGTTTTTTACACAATCACGTAATCATTAAGATTATATCTAATCTCATATAAAAACTCTTCAAAATATGACACTGGGATATGAGGTTGCATAAAAATCATAACCCTAATTTACAGAATATAATTTTTTGAGATTCCCATATTTATCACCATAACCATAGTAATTTCCTATTGGTTTCCCGAAAATCAAAATATTCCTTCTGATTAAAAAATTGTGGTTTATTTCTGAAAGTATTGACAAGTAATCGGAGGTAGAATATCTCCAATGTTTAAAATTTAGCAATTCCAAGACGTTATGGCAGGATAGGATATATTTCTAAGACTAGTTATTTTAATTGGAAGATTTAGTACATATTGATCGTGTTTTTAGAAATTCTGGAATAGTGCAGTGATATTCCTAACGGTTTTCAATTTTTGAAATATTGTTGAAATTTATATGGTCTCGAAATTATGCTGTTAAAACCATTAAACGTTATTGAACAATGGAACATTTTAAAATTCGTATAAATATACATGTTTATTTGCTGAAATAAACCGGTTATACTCTTCATATTAGCGGTGTGATCCAAAGATCCGCTGACAGATCCTCCAATATACATTGTTTTTTTCACTTTATTCTACACTCCTAAACAACGAGTATACTGCGTTTTCATAAAAAAATCTAAATGTTGTATGTAGTTTTAATTCTAACAATTCATTAAATATAATATATTTTTGTGTATATATGCTGTGTTGAGATGTTACTTAAAATTTGATTCAAGATTTTCACCACAAATTATTAATTATAAATCCAAGTCTGAATGTTACTAAAATACAAAATAAAGTGGAAATAAACAAATTAAATTAAATTTAATATTTTCTCTCATATTTTTTGAGTAAAAAACTATTGTGGTGAGAAAGTCCATGATATATCGAATTTTATTTAACGCCCGCATGTTTGTAAATTGAGCACAATTCTATTGTGTCGTCTTACAATAATATTTTTTATAACTAACATTAATGGCAATAAAGTTGTGATGAGTATCGAACTAGATATTGACTGCTTAAGGTATATGTGTGGATGTGTTTGTGTGCCTAGAAATAATATTCGTGAGATTAATTTATGTGAATAAATACATTATATAAAATATATAGTGTAACATCCTGAATACAGGACATTTCTTTCTATGTACACAATATTTGCTAATTTATTGAAAAGATACATGTTGGCCACGAAGTACGCCGAAGGACCATTTCGTAATACGAGATAACATCTACAAAAGTCAATATGAATATATATTTATTTAAATATTATATCTAAGGATAATAGGATGAAACAACAATTGTTTAAACAGTCAATTTAATAATAACAACAATTTGTCTAGAATCGACAGGTAACCAGCACAGTGAATTCAAAATTCGAGAAGTTAGATTAATCATCGCCAATGCGTAACACACACGCACAACGCTCTCCAAATACGAATTAATTATTTAATTCTTTGGCTAGAGCAACGTTAGTGCCAAAGTTTGCCAGCTGTTGTTGCGTCACATAACCATAAATTGTATTATTGTTATTGTTAGCTTGTTGCAAGACCGCAGTACCAGATGTTGGGGTATTTGATGAGAGCATATCCTTACTATGGCGATCCGTATCCTCCAGATCAGTGATGACTGGTGATGTGTTTGTTTGCCCACTGTTGGCTGTAAAAGGCTGTGAACTGTTTGAATGTGGTGATGTAATATTGGTGGGTGACGTCACATTTTGTCCATTATCGGACATAGTTGTCATCTTAGTAAGTGCTTCAATACATGTGTAACCATTTTGTGATGTGTGAGGCGGTGGCTGATGTATTTGTGGTTGAAACTAGGCAGGAAAAGTAATATGTTAATAATTAAATCCAAAATGTTATTAAACTATAATCGTTGTATATAGAGATAAAAATATTTGCATATTTAAAGAATGATTTTGAATATTACTATAAACCAACATGCATTCAAATTAGAAGACTTGGAGAGGCCGGCTTGCAATGTGGGACAAAATCGACAAAATCTTTATTGGTCATCATTTCAATATTTCTTCTTATTCTTAGCCTATATACTAGTGAATGACTTTAAATATAGATAATTGTTTCTTTAAGATTTAACATATTAGCTTAAAGACAATATTTTGTGGCAAATTTTAAACATATTAAACATTTTGTAATAGGTATGAATTTGTAAGAATTTTCTGGGAATAAAAACGAAAAGGAGAAAAAAATTGTTTTTTATTTACAAATAATAGTAAAATTTTCTTTGCTTACACTGATTAAATTTTCTTTGTAAGAATTTGTAAATACTCAGTAACATAACTATCAAATCTGCTCTCTCAATTCATTCCCTTTTACTGGACTTTTGGGTAAACAAACAACATTTTGTAATAATTTGTACAAATTATTGAGTAAACGAACGAACCTATTATTAAAGAAATGAGTAGCAATAGAAAATATGTTATTTGTATTATTTATTTGCTGTACTTGCGTTTTCTTTGTCCATTTTAATGTTTAATGATACAAAATCAAATTAAAATTTACCAACATTATAGTTGTTTGTTTACAAATTATAATGAAACAGCTGATGTTACTGGAAAATCTTTACTGGGTTAATTTTCCAAGTAAGAATTTGCAAATAATCAGTAACACAACTGTCAAATTGTCTCCCTCATTCGATCTCTTTAACTTTTGCGTAAATGAACAACTTCCAGTAAAATTTATAAAAATTATTGAGTAAACGAACATACCTAATATAAATGCATAGCACAAACTTACCAATTGTTTCGCAGCACTTGGTTGTATATAGCCATCGGTGGTCATAGTTGGAAATGTTGTACGAAACGACTGTGGAACTGGCCTTTCCCTTGCATTAAGAATAGAAGCCAACAACTGGGTATTGTGCGTTACATAGCCACTACTATTTATATGTAATGTGGAACCATCATCATCGCCATGATCAGTGTACTCCATGTCGTCCTGATTCATTTCATTTTCTAGTTGTTCTGCAGCGGCAATGTCCAATGTTGTATTTTTACTATCGATTTCACAAAGTTTAGGAATTTGATGGTGACCATGATAATTCAAATTGGAATGCGAGCTGGCACTCGAATTAGAGCTTAGCTCTTCGTTTGTAGTTTCCAGAGATGGATGCTCGCCCATATGCTCATCATTGTGATGGTCCTTGGAACTGCTCGTCGATGAGAGCGATGAGAGTGGATTGGGCGACCGATTATGGAAATTCGATATTAAATTGAGATTATCTTTGTGATCAAATGCAACAAGGCAATCATTGCTTCGCGAAATATCTGTGTGGAATTCTTTCTTTGCGCCTGGGTCCAAGCCGCAATTATTGGCGAGAGCACCGCCTGCCAACTTATAGTCGGAGTTCTGGTCAACGAGACCCTCTGGTAATATGACTTTTATGTTTTTCATTGTGTAGTATTTGTTGCGTACCCAGTAACATAGGTAAGCAGCAAATATGATTAAAATTACAAAGGCTAGAGCATATAACGCGGCCTTCGTGTCGGTGCAGTAATATGTTCGACGTGCATCTATCCAGGGAGAGGCAAAATATGACTTTGTATCTCCTTCCAAAAGCAGTGCATAATTATAATTCTCATTTTCACTGTCTGACGTACAAAAGCTATTATCAAGTTTAGCACCAGCTAGTATTACGTCTCTGCTCATCGATTTGATATCTTTGTCTGTCTCGTTTGGTTGCCCGACATTGACGGCACGCACTTCTAGGGCGTACGACATCTTTGACGATGGACACTCTGGTTTTTGAAACCTGCAACTGCGCCCCCTAACTATCGATACACGTTCGTAAACCGATTCACTTCCGTTGTATCTATGTAACAATGCGACGACATAAAATAAATGTTGACCGGATGGAAGATCTGGCTGTTCCCAGTGAATTACTTGCTCATCTTCGGAAATATTTATGTTTCGAGGACTAGAAGGTACTGAGGGAAGAAACCAATACAATTATGCGTATTAAATTATCAACTCCTCGTTACTTACTTCCGATTAGCGTTCGTATATAAACAGATTTGCTAGGTTGCGACTCCTCAACGGTGTGTGCTGTAACATAAACTTCGTAGTCAGAGAAGCTGCTAAGACCTGTTAGCTCGTATGACGTTTGGTTGATGTCAGTTGTAGCTGTTTCATAGGTTTTGTACGATTTTTTTCGCCTAAATAAAAGATAATAATAAAAAATGAGAAGAATAAGAAAAGTCGTTGCAATAATTTACAATAACTTGGATAAATACAAATGATAACTATTTGTTTGTTTATTTTTAAGGTTCTGCCACTTATGTACGTTATTGAAAATTTCGATTATTTATTGATTATTTGGTTTACAATCAACATTTTCACGAAACTTGGCACACATCATTCTGGACCCTATGCCAAATTTTGTGCAAATCCAAGGATATATAGGGACTTTGGTGCACCATTTACCTTAAATCGGACGAAACTATATATGGGAGCTATATCTAAATCTGAACCGATTTTCTCAAAACTTGGCACACATCATTCTGCACTTAATTCAGTACTCTATGCCAACTTTCGTGCAAATCAAATGATATATATAGGCACTTTGGTACACCATTTACCTTAAATCGGACGAAACTATATATGGGAGCTATATCTAAATCTATACCGATTTTCACGAAACTTAGCACACATCATTCTTGACCTAATTCAGTACTCTACGCCAAATTTCGTGCAAATCGAAAGATATATAGGGACTTTGGTGCACCATTTACCTTAAATCGGACGAAACTATATATGGGAGCTACATCTAAATCTGAACCGATTTTCTCAAAACTTGGCACACATTATTCTGCACTTAATTCAGTACTCTATGCCAAATTTCGTGCAAATCAAATGATATATAGGGACTTAAATTGGACGAAAATATATATGGGACATATATCTAAATCTATACCGATTTTCACGAAACTTAGCACACATCATTCTTGGCCTAATTCAGTACTCTACGCCAAATTTCGTGCAAATTGAAAGATATATAGGGACTTTGGTGCCCCATTTACCTTAAATCGGAGGAAAGTATATATGGGAGCTATATCTAAATCTGGACCGATTTTCACGAAACTTTGCACACATCATTCTGGACCCAACTCAGTACCCTATGCCAAATTTCGTGCAAATCAAAAGATATATAGGGACTTTGGTGCCCCATTTACCTTAAATCGGAGGAAAGTATATATGGGAGCTATATCTAAATCTGGATCGATTTTCACGAAACTTAGCACACATCATTCTGGACCCAACTCAGTACCCTATGCCAAATTTCGTGCAAATCCAAGGATATATAGGGACTTTGGTGCACCATTTACCTTAAATCGGACGAAACCATATATGGGAGCTATATCTAAATCTGAACCGATTTTCTCAAAACTTGGCACACATCATTCTGCACTTAATTCAGTACTCTATGCCAAATTTCGTGCAAATCAAATGATATATAGGCACTTTGGTGCACCATTTACCTTAAATCGGACGAAACTATATATGGGAGCTATATCTAAATCTAGACCGATTTTCACGAAACTTAGCACACATCATTCTTGACCTAATTCAGTACTCTACGCCAAATTTCGTGCAAATCCAAAGATATATAGGGACTTTGCTGCCCCATTTACCTTAAATCGGAGGAAAGTATATATGGGAGCTATATCTAAATCTGGACCGATTTTCACGAAACTTGGCACACATCATTCTGGACCCAACGCAGTACCCTATGCCAAATTTCGTGCAAATCCAAGGATATATAGGGACTTTGGACTTAAATCGGACGAAACTATATATGGAAGCTATATCTAAATCTGAACCGATTTTCTCAAAACTTGGCACAAATCATTTTGGACCTAATTCAGTACTCTGTGCCAAATTTCGTGCAAACCGAAAGATATAGAGGAACTTTGGTGCTCCATTTACCTTAAATCGGACGAAAATATATATGGGAGCTATATCTAAATCTGAACCGATTTTTCCCAATTTCAATAGGGTTCGTCCTTGGGCCAAATAAGTGACTTGTGCCAAATTTCATCCAAATCGGATCATAAATGCGACCTGTACTTTGTTTACAATTTAACATCTACAGACGGACAGACGAACGGACGAACGGACATGCATAAATCGACTCAAAAAGTGATTCTATGCATATTCTCAAAATGAACCATGTGTCTATCTCGTTTCCTTTTGCCTGTTACAAACATATGCACAAAGACATAATACCCTGTACCACAGTGTGGTGAAGGGTATAAAAAATATGATATATGTATACGTATAAATAATAATGCTTACCAATATACTGTGTAACCACTCAATATCCCATTGAGAACATCTGGTGGACTCCAATGAACTTTGGCCGATTTACTTGTTGCCGAATTAACAAAAACCTTCTTTGGCGGTGATGGTGCTAGTAGAACGAAAAACGATTGAATTGTTTCATAGCACTTGTTTCTAACAATTTAGCTTAACCTACCACTTGCTCGGGTGCGTACACATGTGTACTCACTGTCAGGACCTTGATTGCCCGTTGAAAACATGAACATTGTTAAACAGACTGTGGTATAAGGTCGCAGATTTTGTATTGTATAGTTTCGGTATTCACGGAACAATTGAATAGTGTGTTGTGGACTAGTGCACTTCTTATCGTCCGATGCTTGGCAGTAAGTCAAATTGTAACCTTTTAGAATAGAAGAACACACACTGCCGGAATTCCATTTTACTAGGACGGAGCTATCATTGATTGCTGTAACTTCTAGTTCGACTTTCATCAGTTCACTGGATACTTCGGCTGAACAGCGAGCCCATTGCATGCCCTTATTATAGTGCGGATAATTAGCAGATATTGCCAAATTTAAACTACGATCTTTGGGTTCCGTAGTGAAGTTCGTTGCATACTTGTCCAAGTATTTGTACGAAATTGGGCCCTGCAATATAACAAAAGAATTGTATTACAAATTATGAAAATTGCAGGTAATTTAAAAAGCAAAATAATTTACCTTGCATTGATTTGGTAATTCTATTTTTGGCAAACACCAAAATACCGTATAGTTTACCAATTCATCGATATTTACCGGCGGAGTCCAGGATAATGTGTAGCTGCTGTTGTGATAAACTTTGGCAATATTATTTTCGTTCAGCTCATACTGAGAACTGCCGCTGCGATAGACATTGATGATGTTGCCCTCATTAGACGGTCCAATATTATTGGCTGATTTAATGCTGAAACGTTGTATGTCCACATTCTTCCATGGCAAGGACAAAGTCGTGTCATTAACAGCTGTACTTTGTCTGTGAATTATAAAATGAAACGGTATTTAGAGAGGAAGGCCAAGAAGTTGTTGCAAAATCATTTACATTACAACACCATTAGCATCAATTTCATCGACAACGTAATGAAAGCCAGGACCACAATGGTCATGCTCGGGTAGGTTACCCCAATAGAGGCGTAACTGTGTCTCGGTACTGTCTATGTAAAAGCTACCGCATGGTGTATCGGGTGCTTTGACGGGCCGTTTTTGTTTCGTGTTAAAATGTTCGGTGGACGTTTCACTCCAAAATCGATCATCCTGTGTGTCAACAAGCATCGATTTTACACGAATCTCTACATTATATCGCCAATACGAGTACAAATTATTAACAACCACTGAGTCCACTTGATGTCTCATTGTTCCAGTTCGTATCCAACCAGCTTCAGGAATTTTAATTTCATATAGTAGGCCTTTGCCATAATAGCCGAATTTAATTTTTTCCCAAATAACTGTAGCACTGTTAGTTGTGATGTTTTGAACACTAATTTCTACAGGGACTGGTACAACTGTAAGGTTATGATAAAAACAACGATTTAGTTTATTTTATAGTACAGAAAACAAACGTACATACCGATTTTGTGGCTATTGATAACAAATCTCTGGATATTTTTACCCCCAGCGTTACTGCCAGTTAAAGTGAAATGATACTCTACTTGCATTGGCGCGTATCCTGTAACATTGTAATGTATTTTGTTACGATGTCCCGGGACATCTGTTAAGCTGCATTTATGTTTAGAGCTCTGCAAATAATAATAATAATTATTGATTGCAATTCTTGTATTTTTATTCGACATATTACATAGTTGGCGAATTTGTATTCCAGATCATATTCGGTCATGAGCATGTTCTTTGGCTTCGTAAAACTGCATTGCATATATTCGTAATCATAGACAATGCACGAAAAATCTGTTACATTTTGTGGCAATTTTCCTGTTAAAGAGGAAGAAAAAGAACTATCATATCTAATTTTCGATTTTGAAATATATACAAATAATAATTATATATACAGTAGAATGTCGTTATATCGCTACATAATCAATATTTCAAGTCATAGTGATAGTAAAATGGTATTAGGGACAGTTGTTAAAATGAAATGTATGTACATACATATGTATTTTCTTTAAACAGAAATATTCAAAATTTTTGTTATTTGAATTTTGCCTTGTAAGGGCAGTGATCATTTGAAAGTAATTTTAAGTGATTATTTATACTCTTTCGAGTCGAGCTTGATGATCTAAGTTTTGCAATGAAAAGGAAAGCCAGGAGAAGAACCTACGCACCCACCATAATGCGACGCGTTTCGCCGTTGGTTAAGCGGCTCATCAGGCATATTGGGCTATGTGGCTTTTACAAATGTCGTACGTTGATACCTTGTATTTATTCCGCCCTGATGCGAAACTTGCATATGCGAATTAAATTCAAATTTGTCAAAGTTCGACATTTGTCTTCATTCTAGGAACAGTCCTTTTCAAAGCAGATTTTTTTTGGCTGCCCTCATTGGACGGTCCATTTTCCTTTTCATTGCAAAACTTAGATCATCAAGCTCGACTCGAAAGAGTATAAATAATCACTTAATATTCAAAATTTTCATTGATTTACTCGACAAGGGGCATGGTACAGTTATATAAGTTAACTGAATATGACAAATTCTGCTTTTTAAAAATGAAAATTGGGTATGCATAATATTCGAAATTGTTCTTTATTAAACCAAATTTTAATTGTTTGTCCCAAATTGACGTCTATATATTCTATTTATATTTGTATTGTATACACCAATTTATGGTATTCGACGATAAATTTTGCAACGCACTGTGCAAAATCATGAAGATATATGTCCATGTGGAAGGTACTATGGAGTACTTTAAAAAGCAATCATAACCAGCAACTTTCATTTGGGACATTTAAAAAAAAATTAATAATTTATTTATAAATACCACTATGCCAGGTTCATATGAAAGGAAACCTACAACACGTAGGTTTAAGTTTGTGTGAATTTAATGTTCAGAGATCCAGTATTTAGTTCATACTTCGACCTTCTAGCCAGAGTTGTGTAGTTAGTTTTGGAAATTCGTCCTTATATGTACTAAATGTGGTACAATGTGGATTGCTTGATTGTAGTATGTAGGTAATAGGAAAATTGTTCTTGTATGTATACTAAGTTGTGTACAATTTGGATTTGTATGAACCATTAGGGCTGATTTTGTAAATATGTAATATATTGGTGCAAAAGTTATTAAATTATACACCCAATACAAACGGATGTACGGATACATTTGCTTTTATAATCTAATTCCTCAATTCATTACAACACTTGTAAAATTTTATGTCTAACTTACCAACATAAAGATCGGTCAATCCAATGCCTTCTCGGCCAACCATGCACTGATACCGACTTTTTTGTTCTTTAGCATTCCGTATCAAAAGCACTGCTGTAAACGGATCTTTTATCTGAAAATATAACATACATAAAATATTTGAGGTCAATATAGCATTTCCACATTAAATGAAACCTTTTACAAATTAAATGAAACCTTTTCCAAATTAAATGAAACCTTTTCCAAATTAAAAGAAACCTTTTCCAAATTAAATGAAACCTTTTCCAAATTAAATGAAACCTTTTCCAAATTAAATGAAACCTTTTCCAATTGAAATGAAACCTTTTCCAATTGAAATGAAACCTTTTACAAATAGAATGAAACTTTTTCCAAATTAAATGAAGGAAATGTAATATTTGCAGTAATTTTAAACCAATATTTGAAAATTAAATCAAAGAATATTAACAAATATAGTTGTATGGCTATGTAATTAACATAAATATTCTTTAATTCGGTGTGATTTCATTTAATATCTTTACTACAAAAAACTAAATAAATAGTAATGCAAACTGGGGTAATTCTTGACATTTTAATAAATAAATATACATATTTGACTTAATAAATTGTTGATGATAAGGTAACTGCTTATCTTAATGAAGGGGTTCCCGACTTGCAGCTTGTGGGATTTTCAAAACCATGTCCATAACGAGTAAGCTTTTGAATACTTCGCTCGATTACATCAACAATGTTATGTTCCATTGAAACGTCACACAGCTCAGCTATTGCACATAATTTTATTTTTGAAAATGCATTTTCAATTGGATTTAGCATTGGAGAATAAAGCGGTAAGAATTTAAGGTTGCATCTTTTGGATTCGATCAAATTTTTTATGTCATGTCGCTTGTGTATTTGAGCGTTATTTTCCAACTCTGGATTGATTTTCTCAAAAAAAAATTTCTATAAATAATTTAAATCTGTCTGCATTGACACTGGAATTAGAAACGATTGTGTGATGTACAACTCCCCCGTTGTTTATCGCTGCAATTATAGTGACATTACGACCTCTGACGGTAGGCAACACAATGTGTGCTATTGTTCCTTGTCTTGAACGGGCTTGGGTTCGTCGTATGTGAAGATTAAATCCACACTCATCAATGAATATTAATTTTTCTCCTTGTTGGGGTATCCATTTTGTAAAGTCTTGAGCATATTTTTGTCTCAAGCCTAATGTTCTGAAGTCATTCTTTCGTTCTATTTCAATAAAGGCCATCTTAAACGTAATTTTTAATTTCCGTAATCCATATTCTATGCAGCTTGTGGAAATATTTATTTCATTTTCTCTCAACAGTTTAGTTTTTATGGCTTTGAGGGTAATTCCAGGTTGACTTTCCATATAGAACTCGATCAGACTTAAAACTTGTGGTGTCAACAACTTAGTTCTATTTCCTCCACGCTTATTTTCCTTCAATGTTCCAAAATTTTGTTTTTATCTTCTTATAAATGTTTTTTCGGAATTTATTTTTATGCGGGTTAAATTTGCAGCCTCGGAAATGATTCTCCCCTCTTCATAGAATTTAAATAATAACAATTTCATGTCTTTTGTTATTTTGTTATACTGACCCAATTTGTTTCGGGGTCTTGTAGATGTAGCTTCGGTAGGTTCTGGAGCATTTCCACTTGCAATACTTGGCGAGGATATTGATTCTTCCTCAGGTTCCAAATTATCTGAGCTTCCCGAGCTAAAATCAGTTTCGCATTTATTTTAAACGTTGCTATTTTTAAGTACAGTGAACTCTCGATAATGTAAACATCCAAAACAGTTAAACTCTCGACAATGTGAAGTAATTACAAACAAAATTTTGGAACATTGAAGGAAAATAAGCGTGGAGGAAATAGAACTAAGTTGTTGACACCACAAGTTTTAAGTCTGATCGAGTTCTATATGGAAAGTCAACCTGGAATTACCTTCAAAGCCATAAAAACTAAACTGTTGAGAGAAAATGAAATAAATATTTCCACAAGCTGCATAGAATATGGATTACGGAAATTAAAAATTACGTTTAAGATGGCCTCTATTGAAATAGAACGAAAGAATGACTTCAGAACATTAGGCTTGAGACAAAAATATGCTCAAGACTTTACAAAATGGATACCCCAACAAGGAGAAAAATTAATATTCATTGATGAGTGTGGATTTAATCTTCACATACGACGAACCCAAGCCCGTTCAAGACAAGGAACAATAGCACACATTGTGTTGCCTACCGTCAGAGGTCGTAATGTCACTATAATTGCAGCGATAAACAACGGGGGAGTTGTACATCACACAATCGTTTCTAATTCCAGTGTCAATGCAGACAGATTTAAATTATTTATAGAAATTTTTTTTGAGAAAATCAATCCAGAGTTGGAAAATAACGCTCAAATACACAAGCGACATGACATAAAAAATTTGATCGAATCCAAAAGATGCAACCTTAAATTCTTACCGCTTTATTCTCCAATGCTAAATCCAATTGAAAATGCATTTTCAAAAATAAAATTATGTGCAATAGCTGAGCTGTGTGACGTTTCAATGGAACATAACATTGTTGATGTAATCGAGCGAAGTATTCAAAAGCTTACTCGCAAGATTGTTCTAACTACGTTATGGACATGGTTTTGAAAATCCCACAAGCTGCAAGTCGGGAACCCCTTCATTAAGATAAGCAGTTACCTTATCATCAACAATTTATTAAGTCAAATATGTATATTTATTTATTAAAATGTCAAGAATTACCCCAGTTTGCATTACTATTTATTTAGTTTTTTGTAGTAAAGATATTAAATGAAATCACACCGAATTAAAGAATATTTATGTTAATTACATAGCCATACAACTATATTTGTTAATATTCTTTGATTTAATTTTCAAATATTGGTTTAAAATTACTGCAAATATTACATTTCCTTAGATAAGAATAAAGGTTTCATTTAATTTGGAAAAAGTTTCATTCTATTTGTAAAAGGTTTCATTTCAATTGGAAAAGGTTTCATTTCAATTGGAAAAGGTTTCATTTAATTTGGAAAAGGTTTCATTTAATTTGGAAAAGGTTTCATTTAATTTGGAAAAGGTTTCATTTAATTTGGAAAAGGTTTCATTTAATTTGGAAAAGGTTTCATTTAATTTGTAAAAGGTTTCATTTAATGTGGAAATGCTATATATGAACAAAAAACGTTTGAATAAGAACTTAAACTAATAGAAGCTATTGAATATTCTAGTATGTCATATGGCTTAAAAAATTAACATAAAAATACCAAATATATGAGTATAAGTAGAAAAGAACCCTGGATTCTTATTATTTGCAATGCGCCGACGAGGAGGAAAAACAATAACTTGCTTTGCACCATGATTTAAACCTCGAATTGTTGAACAGCAAGACATTAAAATTATGACATCCATGAAATGACGAAGTTTCGCAATCATTCAAGAGATTAAAAAATTGGGGTAATTGCTTTTTCTCAAAAACTACACATGACTGATTAAATTTTATTAATTAAATTTTAATTTTCATATACTTTTTCATTCGAATATCTCTAAAATTTCTAGTATTACAAAAAAAAACCCCACAAACCACGCTTAACTGCAAATAGTTTAGCCTCTTTTGTATTTGTTTGTCATTGTTGTAATTATTTTAGAAATTAGACAGATATTATAAAAACAACTCTTTAAATAGCGGCACCATAAAGCAATTCTTCGATAACGATCTGATAATGCTAATATCAATTTAATGATATCGCAACAATAATGATTATCTTTTTAGAATTCTGAGAAAGTTCTTTCCAGCTAATGTCGCAATGTATATTGCATCCTAATAACGATAGCGATTTGAAAAGTTGTTATTTTCTTGTAGCTGATACTCCCGCCAACCATTTGCTGTTGGTATTCTATGGAAATGTACGCGCCAATCTAAGTTACACTCAAATCAACACAGTCCCAAAACCATCGTAAACTACTCAACTCACGGCAGAAAAATGACATGGCAAAGAACTGGAAGATACACCGTAGTCGCGGACTTGTGGAACTCAGTGAGTGACCGCATTTAAGGCCACAATGTTCGTTGGTTGGATGAATAGGTGGATGGGGCATTGGCATTTGGCTTTGTGAGAGTTCTAACTGTGTTCATTCCTATAAATCAATGTAGTGTCAACAAGTTAATAGGAACTGTGAAGGCTAACTGGCTGCAATATTTGCATATGGATATATCATCAGGCGCACTTATGTATACAGTCAGGTTCATTAGTGTGGTATATACATTTATGAACAATATTTCAATTCCATGTTTCGTGTTTTCTCCATGATTAGGCATATCTATCACTACGCATTAAATATATGTATTGATTATCAAAAAGTGTATACTTTTTATTTGATCTGTCTGTATTCTAGTGAATGTATTCTAAAGTTGTAGCAAAAGATACCATTTAAATTGATCAGGCATGAAGTATACATACTAACTAACTAATCTGAGGTGATAATTTGTCTTCTTCAATCTAACAATTTTAAATTCCCACAACTTTCTTTAAAACAACAACAGAAAAAGAAAATTTCATTGCAATTTTTATTTGGATATCGTTCTTATTATCCACTACTATACGTTCTCATGAAACTTCTGATTGATAAGACGAATTTATCGCTAATATCTTTAGCTGTGTCACTGTATAACAACATGTGTAAATGACATTTAAACTAGATTGAATACTACGTGAGGCAATATTAAACTATTAAATAAAATATTCGACTGAAATGTTCATTCATTTTACCAGAGAAAAAATTAAAAATTTTCAGAATTTATTCGATAACAAATGAATGGTAAAAAATGTATATAGCATGATTGAAGTTAATTTTATAAATATAAAATTACAAAATTAAATATATTCTGAGATAATTTGGTCCATATATCGAAATTCATTAATACTAAGGCATTGGGATTGATTTTTTTAAAACAGCGTGGAATTTTAGATTTACTATGGAAAAATCAGTTTTTTTGTACTAGTGGAGTTTTCATCAAATTTATTTAGGGTAATTCGATCTTTGGACAGCGCTTTAAAAACGGACTTATCGGCGTTGTATACTACATTTGCATCATTTCATTT